AACTAATTAAGAAAAAATTGCTTCAGCAACAATTGTACTTCTGTTCACATGATTTCTGCAAAATTATACAACCATGAAACCTTCAAATAACAGCTTTATATTATGATGATTATGACACAGCAAAATGTTTAATGGTTGGCTTAATTCATAATAACAGCCTTTTCCAATTATGGTTTCCTGAAACTGAAATAATTCCTTGTTTCCCAACATGGAAAAAATAGCAGAACATATCACAAATATCTTAACAAACCAGGAAGAAAATATTTCCAGAGAAATGGGAAATTACCACACATATCTTTAAAAACATTAATTTATCATTCTGAAAGTGCTGTTTTAAAGAAAAATATCATAATTTAAACACTGCTTTGATGTGCAAAAGTGGAATATATATAAATTTATAAATCTGTTGACAAATGACTTATATTAATATGCAATATTCTTGAGAAATATTAATGTGAAAGTATTGCTTTTATTTGGGGTTAAATGATAGTCCCTTAATTACAGCAACATCTAAGTGGTACGTAAGCTATTCACTCTCCAAATGAGTGTGGCATATAAACTAGAGCTGTAAGTAATATACTGTAAATATTACACTTTGGATATTACAGGACTAAGTAGGTGGCTAAATAAGTAAGTAAATAAGTGGATAGCAAGATGGATGACATACAAATTTAATAAATAAATACAAATAAGCTATGCCTTTTTCTAAATTTAATAACTAAACAAACAAAATTATAAAATAATATCTACGGGGACTTCAGGTTTAAACTCCATGAGTGCCAGACTTATTTTTATGTAATTGTGTTTTGAATTCCCATAACTCTTGCCTTGATTCCTGGATGGCTCAACAAAAATTCCTTTGCTTTCTTTTCCTTTGCCTCCATTTTTGCATAACAGCTGTTTCTAAAAGGAATATTCTTCATCCATTAATATAATTATGAGTTAAAATGCAAACCCAGACTTCTGGACTGCAAAATTACATATAAAACCTAAAAATATAAATATTGAAATAAGAATACTATACTGTTTTATTAGTTTGTTAAGATAGATGGTAGAATTTATATATAAGGGGTGTATTTTAAATATTAGATTGTATGAGGAATTGTGATAAAGTAATTGTGTTTAATTAAAAATTTGGAAAAAAATAAATATTAAACGTTAAATTAAAATATTAAGGGAAAATTAACCATCAGGTCACTGATTGGCTAAAAGTTTGAATGTTTACAAATAACTACGATTTGAATTTAAGATATTGTTATAAGTTGAGACAAAGGTTAAGTAAAACTTAGAAGTATAAATACTAATAATTAAATTTGTATATGGGTTTGTGGTACAAATGCTGGGGGTTTATTTTTTTTTTTTTTTTTTTTTTTTTCTGGAAAGGAAGAAAGGAAGGAAGTAGAAGGAAGAAAAGGAGAGAATTATTAGCCCCAAATATGAGATAGGAGACTTAGAAATTGGGATCATTTAAAATCTGGAAATGACAAAGATTAAACGTTAAACTTAAATATCAATGGGAAATTAAAGTGAAGAAAAACTTACTAGGTTATTGTCTAAAAGATGGAATGTCAAATTAATTAAGATATGTATAGACTGAAGATTATTGATGAATACTAGAAAGGTATTTTTTGTTTGATTGATAGAATACGAAATGTATTAGTTCGAATATGACAGCAGTATTATGGGGGAAAGAGAGGGAATTAGTTATTGTAATACTTTGAGACTTGTACTGATGATATTCAGATGTAATGGAATTACTGTGCTCAGCCGCCATGCTACCTTTCAAATATGTAAATGTAATATTGGAAAATTAGTAAAAAACTTGGAAAAAAATTACAGATGACCATTAGTTGGCAGAAAAATATATAGGATATTCTTGCTTGTAGTCTAATTTTTCAGATGGATCTTTGTTTCTATTTTATTTATCATTTTATATAGCAGCCCATCTCAAATATAAAGCAAAATACATGCAAGCAAAATACATAGCAAACCAATAAAACCACAATTTAAAATAAAAACAAAGACAAAGTAAAACATAAAACAATGGCCAGTATGGGGGGGGGGGATCAGTTAACAATTATCTAACCATTCAACAAGCTTCATTCTACCATGTGTTTTGTGGCCCTTCCAGAAAGCCAACAGCATTGGGACTAACTCACCTTAGGAGGAATGGTGTTGCAAAGGGTGAGGGCTATGGCAGAGAATGATTTCCTCTTAGGACTTACCAGACAAAATTCCCTAGTTGATAGGACTCACAACATTCTCTCCTGTCAGAGCATGATGGGGCAGGCAGATGCATTTTGTACCACATAAAGCAGGAATGTCAAACTCAATTTCATTGAGGGCAGTATCAGGGTTGTGGTTGATCTCAGAGGGTCGGGGTGGGTGTGGCTGGGGGGGATCCATTGTTTCCAGCCAAGGAAGGCAAGACCAGGGTGAGCACCATATCTTTGTCTACCAGAGGACTCTCCCAGGCCATGCGGAGGACCCCCAGTGATGCAGGCTGCCCAGAACCCTGGGCAGCGGAGGGCAAGCACCCAGTCCAGCCTTTCTCAAGGGGGCACCTGGCTGCGCTTACCTCCTCCTCAAGGCTGCTGCTGATTGGCTCACTCTCCTTGGTCAAGTTGTTCAAAGTGTGCGCAGGAGGACAAAATGTGTGGGTCAGAGGGAGGCCCACTCCCTCTCTCCACGAGGAGACCCGGCTTTCTAACCAAAGCATCCTCAGCAATAGGAGGGAGACCACCACGAGAGGTCAGGAGGAGGGAACAAGGGGATGGCGAAAGGGCAGCAGGGCTGCTCATGGCCAAATGCTAAGGCAGGACTTCCCTCAGACCCTCCCCCCTCTCCTTCCTTCCTTCCTTCCTTCCTTCCTTCCTTCCTTTCCCCTTTTCTTCTTTTTCCTTCCCTCTTTATTCTCCTTTCCTTCTTCTTCCTTCCCCTTTTTTCTTCTTTTTGTTTGTCTTTCCTTTTTCCCTTTCTCCTTTCCTGTCCCTTCTTGGATGCTCAAATGCAAAAGGGGAAACATTTCTCTGCCCTGCCTCCTTGCCTTGTGATCAAATGCCACTTTTGCTCGTAGATTGTGGCCACTTAAAAGACTGAGAACAAATCAGGCTCAATTTATCCCATGCTTGCATTTAGTGGGAGCATCCACAGACAACAGTACAGCAAAACTACCAAAATGGTGGGTGTGAGAGTTGACCAGAGCTCCTCTGTTTTTTTTGTGCAACAGCTTTAGCATTTAAGGAACAGAGGTTAGTTAATTGCTTTTCTATTAATACATAATCCTTAAAAGGGCTCTCCTATAGGGACCCTGCCATGGTCTAATTCAGACTGGAAATATAGCAAAGGAAAATATTTTTCCCCACTCTGCTTTGTCCTATTTTCCCCACTGGAAATGGCTGTTTGCAACACACAAGGAGAGGATACTTTCCTAAGAGTACATAATTCAGGAATACCAATGTTAACTTGGATTGCCAACAAAGTCCTGTCTGTGACAAAAGAACACAAAATTGCTTTCTCCTTTGAGCCCAAGTCTCTATGGATCCAGGATTGAAGTAGAAGTATGTGAACTGGGGCACCTCCAACCAAGTTGTCATTCCTTCCTTCCTTCCTCTTCCCCTCCTTCACTGTCTCCCTTCTTCTCATTTCCTTCTCATTTCCATCTCCTTCCTTGCTTCTTTCCTTGCTTCCTTCCTTGCTTCCTTCCTTTCTCCCCTACTTCTCATTCCCATCTCTTTCCTTCCTCCACACTCAGGAGGGAATGACAAGAGGGGGAGAGATTGCCAGCGCTGCCAGAGGCCATGCTGCCAACAGCCGTCGCTATCCCACATGGGTGGGGCCAGTCCCGGTGAAAGGGAAGCCTTGTGGCTGCGAGGCTAGGTCAGCAAACAGGCCATGGAGGTGCTGGTTGGAAGGGGGTTGCACTGATCTACAATCTGGTTGCATCCATTAAATACAAAATGCGCTCAACCTTAGATCCACGGGGCAGCCCTGGAACCAGTGAGGGGCTGCCCTGATGCCTCTGCCCTGCCCCCTGGGTGTGCGCATAGGAGGTAGCAAGCGCTGGCGTCCTGGGTGAAGTCAACCTCTGGGGCAAGACAGCCAGCAGGGGCACCAGACTCCACCTGCTCACTGCCTCCTGCACGTGTGCCCAGAGGTTCGCTGGTTCCAGGACTGCCCCATGGATCTAAGGCTGAGTGCCTTCTGGCTTTGATGGCTGGCACCAGGTTGTAGATCAGCACCCGGTTGGCCTGGGCCAGTCTGCGGTGCTGTGGGCCGGTCCTTCGTTGTTTCCAGAGCAGCCCCGCAGGCCAGATGCAACCACATGGCAGCCCAGATCTGACCCGCAGGCCTTGACATGTCTGACCTAAAGCTTCCAGATACTTTTCATGTAATCCCAAGTAGCATGCATTGTAGTAGTCAAACTGGAAGTGATAGGACATGAGTGACCAGAAGTAGAATTACTGCTTTTACTGGTCATTTCACAGCAGAACTTGCTCTGACATTTAGAAAATTATATTAATCCACATAGAAATAAAATTCATGGGACTCCATATTTTTCTATAAACGTGTTTTTTGGATTGCCCTTTTATAATTAGTTTCAGGCAATCCCGGGCTTAGTGCATAGTGAGTAAGCTGAATTAATTATATGTAGTGGCACCAATAACATCTGAATAATTCAGAATCTATAAAGACATTTTATATCTTTCCTTCTTAAAATTTGGGGAAAAAAATACCTAGAGCCATGGTGGCGCAGTGGTTAGAATGCAGTATTGCAGGCAAACTCACTGCTCACTCCAGGAGTTCAATTCTGAATGGCTCAAGGTTGACTTAGCCTTCCATCCTTCCGAGGTTGGTAAAATGAGGACCCAGATTGTTCAGGGTAATGTGCTGACTCTGTAAACTGCTTAGAGAGGGCTGTAAAGCACTATGAAATGGTATATAAGTCTAAGTGCTGCTGCTATTGCTAATGCTACTCAAATATGCATTTATTACTTTAGGTTATAGATTCGGATGAAAATCAAGCTGAAACAATGGGAACCTTGAAACGGTTGCAGAAGTTAGTTCGAAATAAGAAAGACAATATACATAGTTTGGAGGACATGAAGCATATATTATCATCCAGTAAGTAAAATGATTTCATTTCAATCTATAAGAAATTAAATGTATTCATAAAATCCATTTCAATATTCAACACAAATTTAGAATATAGCGAGCAACTCATGGACACGGTTCAAATAAAATGTTAAGCAACCAATAAGATTTTTGAATTTTTGTTAAAAACAGAAAAATAAAGAAAATGCATCCAAAAGTCTTTCTCTCTGCAAATAGACATAAGTTTTGAAAAAACCAACAACAACAACATGCAAGCATTCCCATCCCAGATTTACAAATTAGGTATACTATGCAAATAAATAACAGCTGAGAAATAAATATATTATTTATTTTACAGGATGTATAGGTTGGTCCAGTTGAAACTGATTCTGAGCTGTATGCCATTCCCTCTCCATAACCCTGATTAAAATACTGAATTTAATCAGAAAATCAAAATCATAGCATCACAGCAAAAGATTCTGAGAATTGCAATCAACCACCAAACATCAATTAAAACTTTAAAACACTGTGTTGAGTAGCTTCAAGTAAACTCAAAGTATCATGCATACAGACAACAAGTTTTTCAACAGAACAATGTGTGACATTTGCTGTAGAAAATACCTGCACTGATATTTTCAATTTATTTCGGGGGAACTGACTTATCTTTTCACTTTCATGACTCTCAGTCGTCCATGTAAAGATTTTTTATGTAAGCTAGATATGCTAGCTGAAATCATTTAGTTATTTTTCTGATTGAACCCTTTTAACTTGTCTATTGGTATCTCTAATAGTTAATTATATTTTATTGTTTAATGTGGTACATTGATTTTTTTTAAAAAAAGTATAATTCATATTTATGTTTTTATCTAACTTATTATATATCATCTTGGTAACATTTGAGAATAGGCAAGATATAACTATTATCAATCCGTTAATGATGCGGTTTAGATGTTCTCTGAAATGACCAGATTTTTATTTTATTCTTTGTGTTTTTTTAGTTTATTACTTTTAAAATGTATGTTTTCGCAGAAAACATATATATTAAATAAATATGTAAAAATAAATAAATAAACCAAGCATTATTTTTTTTAAAAAATGCATTCTTTTCAAGATATATCACCACAAGATCCTGGGTTCTCTGAAGCTGAAGATGAAGCTCCAATTTCATGTATGAAATTAACAAAATACCAAGACAAAAAAATATTGAAAGAGAGTACAAGATTAAAGGCAGAAATTGAGCCTAGAACAGATCTTATCTCAGCATTGCTGGATACAACTTACCCTTCTGGAATTAACAACCTAGGAAATAATGACACCTGTTCTGAAATGGAATTTCAGCTCTGGAGTGACTGGAAAATTTTCCCAGATGCTCAACTGGGTCCCTGTGATTTCTTCACCACAAGGATCGAAGAGTGGGGAAAATGTACCTGTTGTTCACATCAGCCACAACTTACAAGCTCTGTCACAGATGTGGATCTCCCAAGTTCATGGGTAAGTTTTCTTACAAATAAATAGATAATTTTATGTTATTAATTTTAACATTATCAGTTGTATTAATATTGCATCATAATATATATACATACATATATAATGATGCAATATTAATACAACTGATAATGTTAAAATTAATAATATTAAGTATTACAGTTAAAATCTTCAGTCTTAGAAAATTGCTTGTTATGATTCCCATACAACAATAGGAACATTCTCCCAATTACCTGCACTATGCTACTTGTATATAAAGCCTGTTTAGGACATGAACTTAAATAGAGAGCTCAAAATAAGCACCTTCTCCTCCTTCAAATACCTTTCTTCCTCAAGCAATATTTGTCAAATAAATATACCAAGATGGAGATGGAGAGCATATTTTTGAATAGAAATAGATACTAAGAACCATCATCATCACATCAAAGGAATACCTATGGCTGGCTTTAGCGAGATAGAAGAAACAATTAAGAGAAACAATAATAATGCATTGGGAGAGGGTATATAATATCAATATTCTCATTCTCCAGTTTCACTGAAATTTTTCCCTTGTTTACTTATATCATGTATATTGTCGACCAAGTAAAAAAGGGCATGTTCCCTCTATTTCCATCATGCAAATACCATTACATATCTGGGGATAATTTGGGCAGTATGAAAAGAGATGTTGTACTAAGCCAGTAAAGGAATAAACTGGTCACAAACAGAGAACTCATAATCACATTTTATATTATAGAACATAAAACTATTAAATAAGCAGACAAATTAAAAGTTTATTTATGAAAAAATGACTGCAAAGATTTCCATAATTTATTTCCAGCCTTAAAAATAATGTAATGTTGAGGTGTCCTGAGGTTGGTTTTTTTTTTTTTTTGCTTTTAGTTCTAGCAACAAATATCAACAATATTAAAATAACTTCAAATTCAAACCATTATTAGACAATTACATCTGTTTTTGCATTGCATTTTGGCTTAATATATAGTCAGAAATTAATTGAATTGATCCATCAGGAGTTAAATAAACAGTAAGCATTGTCAATGAACTGGTATCTAAAGGTACCTATAGTGTTGGTATTTTCCTATCATCATTAGTGAGATAGAAGGCATCGAAATTTAACAAATAAATAAAAGTAATAAATATTTTCATAATTAAAATAGCCTTATGAAAGTAATTCAAACCTTTGAATTATTTATGTATTTATTTATATTAAATTTGTATGCTGTCCAATTCCCAATAACTCAAAGAAATAGCAATAAAACCAATAACAAAGATGGGGAAAAATGAGAGAACATAGTAAGAATGATAGACTGTGTATAAATAAACCATGGTGTTTCAATCAACATCACCAAAGCCTGGGTGAAGAGTCAGATCTTCATGGCCCTTCTAAGCAACAATAGAGTGGGGGCCATCTGGATTTTGGAGAAGTCTAATTCCAAAGGTCATTTGTTAATTTAATTTTGTTGTGAACAATACTTTGACGTCCCAAGGCCACCCATCATGCTATTTTTGGTGTACATAGGACAGATCTGGTAGACAGGGTCAGGATTGTATTGGGAGCTAGTTATGAGAGATATTCCTTTGTCTGATGTTAAAATGTTACTTTAGGGTACTATTTCATGATAATCTTGTACCTGGCAGCACTGGATTTCTTGTGGCTCAGAAGTATTAGTTACAGAGCATTTGGGACAGCTGTTGAGGAAGGTAGAAGGAAGAACAAAGTTGTTTTATTACCACTAAAATGTAATATTCTCATATGTAATGTCTATATGAGACATTGTGAGAGAGATATCAACTGAAACTCAGTTTATCACAAAGAAGTATTAATGTTATATCAATTGAACACTGTAATGCTCTGATATTTAAAAAAACTAATTCAATTTGAACAGTTTACTATAGAAAATGTTCTGGGGGAAAAAGGAGATTGCTAACAACAGATTCAGTTTCTCTATTAATCAGAATATGTGTTTGTTTGTCTCAGTTCTAGACTGGGATGGGTAATGTCACATTCATGCCTCTAATTCTTGACTATCAAACACTTTCTCAATTCAACAAAATTTATCATGTCTTACCCTATGAGTGCTTTACATAGTTCATTTATAAAGTTGGAAGGACTCCATTTTCTTGGCTACTCTATGGAAAACTTCTGTTTTCAACTTTATGAGGTTTTTTTTCATTAACTTATGTATAATTATAAGTCATATAATCATTCAATGTATTTTTAAAAGTCAGTACTAGACAAAAATCAGATTGTTTATGAAATGATAAAGTCATACTAGATGTACATATATTTTGCTAAGACTTATTATATGGCAGTGCTTTGAGTTCCAAATGTACCATCAAATTTTGAATTGTGGGCAAGGTCTTCTCCAATACCTAAGAAGGACATGCACCTCCTTCAGGACAAGACAGTCCTGGAAAAAAAATACTAAACCAGCATCTTTAGTCCAATATTGTAAAAAAATCGGTTAGAAGCACAACAGTTCCTGACAGTGCTATTATCTTCTTTACTTCCAGTATATCTGGGCTGACATCTGTTTTGGTCTGGGGCCCAGCAACAGGGAGGTAAAGCACATTAAGTTGGTGAGAATAGTGTGCTGACTCAACAAGCATTTTATTTTACAAACTTGTTTAGCAGTAAAGCTGAAAGATCATGAGAATTGAGTCCTTAAGTTGCTGAGTAATAGAAAACACATTTGTGTAATGTTCCAGGAGGCCTAGTGTGTATTTAATTTAGCTTTCTTTTTTTCTTTTTTTTTTTGAAAGTATTTAGCAAAGATCCTTTTTGAAAGAGGGATAAGCATGAACTGTGGACCTGCTTATTTAGCTCCATACAGTTTTCATCAGTCACTGACAATGCTGAAGCTCAGTTTTGTTGCTGGGAAACAAATCAGCCAGTTACTGCCAAATGTCACCGGCTGAACACTTGAGAATACACTTATCATTCCCCAAAAAACTGTGGCAATTGCCAGGGTATGCTGCAAATAATTGTGGCATGTGGATAATTGAAAGCAATCCTGACATCCAAAATAGATAAAAATTTGACTTGTCATGGGCTCATAGGTGATAAGGAATCAATGCTAGAGAACCAGGAGAAGGAGGAGGAACATGAAAGGGCAAAAACTGATGTTGGGACACCTTTTCGGGAATCTAAAGATTACATTTGTTTGATTTTTCTCCCTGACATTTTCACCATTACTACTGTTTTAAGCCAGTAGTACACACATTAGTTACTTAAGACTGCTGGTAAGCAATTCTAGTTTATTTATTTATAGTAGCTATAGATATTTAAAAGCTGCTGATACCACATCTGGAGGTAGCTTATAATGATCTATGATATGTTTGTCACCCACAGTATGAATAGCCAAAAACCTTTAGTGGCAATTATCTTTTAATCTAACTTTCAGTGTTATCTACTTTGGTGCACTACAGAAAGTAGAAGGAAGTTGTTTTAATTTGAGTAGCCACACTGAACTAAAAAAATAATTTTTCTAACTTCAGTTACTGTATTTACCATTTGTATGTGATGGTATTCGGGGGGAAATTTGCATATAGCCTTCCTTATTAGAGGTGTTAATGCTATTTTCATCACAGAAGTGTAAGGCTTTTAAAAAAAAAATTAAAGCAGACAATTTTATACACATACTATGTGTATAACAATAGGAGAGAAAGAATTAAAAAACTAATCCGTGTATATTACATAAACTTTCAACTCTCCTGCTCAACATTTCAATCAATATTTTGCATTCCATTTTTCTTTTTAAAAACCATTTTAAAATTAAAAATATAGTTTCTGAAATTATTAAATTATTTTCTGACCTATTACAATTCATTCAGAATTCCTGTTTAAGTAAATTGTTGTACTTGTGATATTACCAGTTGCATTTTCTACAACTAGTGCAGAGGTCAATCTTTCAAGGACAAAGAGGGAATCAGGTCAGCCTTCAAACTGCTGTAATTTTTCTGATGCATGAAGAAATAGAATAGATATGGATGGGTACTATATCTCCTGAAATGGCCTCTTTCTTCCCATTTAACAATAAATAATCTGGTGAAAGGAGCTCATGTATAAGTCTACATAAGAATGTCATTTTTGTTAATCATACAGATATTAATGGTGCACAGAAAAAGAAGTAATCTTGGAATGATCAGAGATTCTTTCCTGGTTACACTTTCCTGTTTAAATACTGGAACATGGAATGTACATTTAGATTTGAAGTTCTTAATGTCTGTAAAGCTCAGAATGTGTATTTTCAAATTGTATGATAAATGTGTAGAAGTTGGATAGTCTTCTCTTTGCATTTATTCTGATTATTTTGTTGTCAGATCTCTCATTTCAGCTGACCTGTTCCTATGTAAAAGAATGAGTTATTTTGTCTTTTCTAAGAATTTCATTTGTGACTCATTTCAAAAATAGATTATTATCTTTGACTTAAATATAAGTGAAACCATTTAAAACCTCAGGAAAAGTTTGGTTAAAGAATAAAGTATAATTATCATTGATTTACCTATTTTAGCTTATAATTTCTGTCTAGTTGTACATATAAGCTGTTTTAAGACGATGCAGAAGGTGTTAATTAATAATTATGTGACAGATGTTTTGTTTAGATTTTCAGATATGTATAGGAAGAAAATGAGGTGGGGAAGAAATAAGGCGATTCTACAGCTATCCGAATAGAATTTAAACAATGTAGTTCAACTATGCAACTTTTTAAACAAATTCTGAAGTCAGTATTAGCCTGAATATATATATTGTAAATAAAAGTACCAATAAATTTTATGTATTTGATGGGTGGAGACAAATTAGTGCAGGACAGTATAAACAAATAATAGTAAAAATTGACTGAAATGTAGAATGAGATATTCCCAAAAAAAGTTTAACATTTTCTCATTGTTCTTCGTGGTATTAAAAATATTTGCTTATGAGTAATCTCCATTCAGACAAAAATGAATACTTTTAACTTTTTACATGGCCTTTTTACATTTGCACATAGACACATGTTTCTGTG